AAAAATTCCTTAGCAACGTTTAAAAAATTCCCTAGCAACGTTAAAAAAATTCCTTAGCAACGTTAAAAAAATTCCCTAGCAACGTTAAAAAAATTCCCTAGCAACGTTAAAAAAATTCCCTAGCAACGTTAAAAAAATTCCCTAGCAACGTTAAAAAAATTCCCAAGCAACGTTAAAAAAATTTCTTAGCAACGTTAAAAAAATTCCCTAGCAACGTTAAAAAAATTTCTTAGCAACGTTAAAAAAATTCCCTAGCAACGTTAAAAAAATTCCTTAGCAACGTTAAAAAAATTCCCTAGCAACGTTAAAAAAATTTCTTAGCAACGTTAAAAAAATTCCCTAGCAACGTTAAAAAAATTTCTTAGCAACGTTAAAAAAATTCCCTAGCAACGTTAAAAAAATTCCTTAGCAACGTTAAAAAAATTCCTTAGCAACGTTAAGAAAATTCCTTAGCAACGTTAAAAAAATTCCTTAGCAACGTTTAAAAAATTCCCTAGCAACGTTAAAAAAATTCCCTAGCAACGTTAAAAAAATTTCTTAGCAACGTTAAAAAAATTCCCTAGCAACGTTAAAAAAATTTCTTAGCAACGTTAAAAAAATTCCCTAGCAACGTTAAAAAAATTCCTTAGCAACGTTAAAAAAATTCCCTAGCAACGTTAAAAAAATTCCCTAGCAACGTTAAAAAAATTTCTTAGCAACGTTAAAAAAATTCCCTAGCAACGTTAAAAAAATTCCCTAGCAACGTTAAAAAAATTCCCTAGCAACGTTAAAAAAATTCCCTAGCAACGTTAAAAAAATTCCCAGCAACGTTAAAAAAAATTTCTTAGCAACGTTTAAAAAAATTCCTTAGCAACGTTAAAAAAATTCCTTAGCAACGTTAAAAAAATTTCTTAGCAACGTTAAAAAAATTCCCTAGCAACGTTAAAAAAATTTCTTAGCAACGTTAAAAAAATTCCCTAGCAACGTTAAAAAAATTCCTTAGCAACGTTAAAAAAATTCCCTAGCAACGTTAAAAAAATTTCTTAGCAACGTTAAAAAAATTCCTTAGCAACGTTTAAAAAATTCCCTAGCAACGTTAAAAAAATTCCCTAGCAACGTTAAAAAAATTTCTTAGCAACGTTAAAAAATTCCCTAGCAACGTTAAAAAAATTTCTTAGCAACGTTAAAAAAATTCCCTAGCAACGTTAAAAAAATTCCTTAGCAACGTTAAAAAAATTCCCTAGCAACGTTAAAAAAATTCCCTAGCAACGTTAAAAAAATTTCTTAGCAACGTTAAAAAAATTCCCTAGCAACGTTAAAAAAATTCCCTAGCAACGTTAAAAAAATTCCCTAGCAACGTTAAAAAAATTCCCTAGCAACGTTAAAAAAATTCCCAAGCAACGTTAAAAAAAATTTCTTAGCAACGTTTAAAAAATTCCTTAGCAACGTTAAAAAAATTCCTTAGCAACGTTAAAAAAATTTCTTAGCAACGTTAAAAAAATTCCCTAGCAACGTTAAAAAAATTTCTTAGCAACGTTAAAAAAATTCCCTAGCAACGTTAAAAAAATTCCTTAGCAACGTTAAAAAAATTCCCTAGCAACGTTAAAAAAATTTCTTAGCAACGTTAAAAAAATTCCCTAGCAACGTTAAAAAAATTCCTTAGCAACGTTAAAAAAATTTCTTAGCAACGTTAAAAAAATTCCCTAGCAACGTTAAAAAAATTTCTTAGCAACGTTAAAAAAATTCCCTAGCAACGTTAAAAAAATTCCTTAGCAACGTTAAAAAAATTCCTTAGCAAAGTTAAAAAAATTCCCTAGCAACGTTAAAAAAATTCCTTAGCAACGTTAAAAAAATTCCTTAGCAACGTTAAAAAAATTCCTTAGCAACGTTAAAAAAATTCCTTAGCAACGTTAAAAAAATTCCTTAGCAACGTTAGAAAAATTTCTTAGCAACGTTAAAAAAATTCCGTAGCAACGTTAAAAAAATTTCTTAGTAACATCAAAAGGATTCCCTAGCAATCTTAATAAATCCCTTACCAACGCTAAAAAATCTATATAAAGTTAAAAATTACATAACAATGGATAGTTTCCAAAACAAGCGTAAGATCATATTACTGAATTCTACTTAATGTTAGTTTAGTCTGAAAATGTAATTTCCATATGAATTAGTGCAGATCCTCAGTTATGTACTAATTGTGGAATGTTGGTGGAACCTCATTTTTTGCCCGTCTTTAAGACGGGCTTCTAAGCTAGTATAGCATAAATCCCGAAAGAACAAATTTATCATTTCGTGCAAAAAATGACCCACAGCATCACAACGAATCAAGAATTATGGAGAAAACCGACATGGACTTGGCGAAGGACACACCAGGGGAATATATGCATTTGGTATGTCTTGGAGTGGTACGAAAAATTTTACACCTGTTGACAAGGGTAAAAAATGTCCGGCTAGATTGCGGCCTTATCAAATCGAGGAAATTTCAAAGGCTCTATTAAAACTTAAGAAGTTCATTCCTCAAGAATTTGCACGTAAGCCACGCAAATTAAAGGATCTCGACCATTGGAAAGCCACCGAATTTCGTCAATTCATCCTGTACACTGGACCCGTGGTTTTGAAAAGCATAATTTCCAAGGAATTATGCCAACATTTTATGTCGCTCCATGTTGCAATATCTATTCTAGCTGGTAAAACTCTTCATCTCACAAACAACAATTATGCAAATGAGTTGCTACATTATTTTGTAAAATATTTCGGCACACTTTATGGCCACGAAAATATGTCATTTAATGTCCATGTACTTCTGCATTTAGCAAGTGATTGTATTAATCACGGGCAACTTGACAAATTTAGTGCATTCAAATTTGAAAATAAACTTCAACATATTAAAAATCTGGTGAGGTCAACAAATTGCCCCCTACAACAAGTGCACAGACGACTGATCGAGAGGGAAAACCAAATCCCTTCACACGCTTCCAGTCAACCTTTGCCATGACTCGTCTCTCCATGGGTTTATCGTAACCCTCCTGCCTTCATTTCTAATTCCTCTGTGTTTTATAAAAAGTTCCATCATACATTATTTAAGCTAAGTGTAGTGACTGCTGGGAAGCACCGCGAAGCTTGAAGGAGCAGCATCTGGAATTCCGCCCACTTTTTGCTCTATTATTTTTGATATAAAATTTTATCAAAAAATCTGGTTTACCATGTCAAGGTGAGTGAGTGCTACACCCACCCCGACATGGGAGGAAGAGGCCGCTCCCAGGGAAGTGCTGGGTTGTGGGGGAGGGGGAGTGGGAGCGTGAAAGTGCTTTCTCCACACTTAATGTGTGGAGAGAGTCCTCACCTTCGACCTCCTTCCCACTGCAACCCCTATTTAAATATTATTATTTTAATAATTATGTGGACAGCCATGAGCCCAAATTTTGTGGGCTTATGGCTGTTCTACATTATCTCAAAAAATCTTCTTTCCAGGAAAGAAGAGGAAATGGAGGAGGAGATCCTCAAACCTGAGGGCGAAGAGGGAGATTTACATCTCCCCTCCGAGGTTGAGAATTCGCTCCTCCAGGATGAGGTGCATCCCCCCTCGGATGATGCAGTGAGTGGAGGCCAGGGGGAGGCGATGGAGATGGGGGGCGATGGAGTTGGTGGAACGTTGCCACCAACATCACCACCACCACCACCAATTGCCACCGGCTCCAACAACCGCACAAAAAGGAGGAGGGCGAGGAGGCAACGCCGGGCGAGGGAACTGCGGGCTGGGGGTGCGCCTCCTGCCCCCAGTTCGAATGACGTCACTGCCACCGCGACCACCACCACCACCACCACCACCATCACGGCTCCAGTCACAACGGCCACCAGTGCCACTGCGACTGGGAGCATGGTCTTCCCCTCCACCCCAACCACTCGGAGAGGTGGGGAAAGAGTGAAGAGGGTCAATCTTGAGATTGACCCTACACTCAAAAAAGAAGGTAATGGGTCTTCTTCCTCCACCACTACCAACAACAAGAGAGGCAGGGAGACCCCTACCTCCAACAATCCGAGGGAGAAGAAGAGGCCCTCCACCTACAGGGAGGCCGTGATGGAGGGCAGTGAAGTGGTCATCACTTATAAAGATGACCCTCACCGCCCTCTTTCCAAAAAAGATCAAGAGGCCATCCAAGTTGGGTTCGCTCTGCCATCGACGCGGCAGCAACAACGACACTGCTCAAGTTTGGTGGACTTGTGATCCGGGGTGGGGCATAGTTCTCACATGCCGTGACCCTACCACCAAACTTTGGGCTGAAGGGGAGGTGGACAAGCTGGAAGGGGGGAAATTCGCCACCAGTGAACCCGGACCACCTGAAGGGGTAGTAAAGGTGAGCTTTTGGGTCAGGGAGGCAACACCACCTTTGGCCAAGGTACTCTTCCCTACCATCTCTCGACTCAACAGGGGTATGGACACGACCACTTGGAGAATGACTCATTCGATAAGGTCAGGTCAAGGCTTTGTCTGTTTTTGTCGCATTCCTAAATCCTGTGTGGCGGCCTCAAAACCGCCCGCAGAATTTAATTACTATTTTGATGAGTTGGTGTTTCGGGTAACTGAAACACCCCTTCAAAATTAACCTCGCGTCATAACGCTCATCAACATGACTAACAATAACATCAATACACCATCACACTCATCTACATCTCTTCAAAATGGGTTGTCATCTTTTAATATGACAACCAAAAGTGTGAACTTGGTGCAAATTAACTTGCAACACTCAAAACAGGGTACGACTTCTCTATGTCGTACCCTAGCAGAGTTGCAGACATACATATGCCTAATACAAGAACCGTACTGGTATAAAGGCAAAATACGAGGTCTGGGGGGTTGTGGCAACCTACATTATTTTTGTCGGGATGCCCACTCCAGTAGATCTTGTATTATTACAAGCAGGGACATCAAAGTGTGGCCCCTGCTGGACTTATGCTGTAGAGATGTCACAGCCATCCGTACCCAGTGGGGGGGTATTGGAGAGGTAGTTATAGCCTCAGTATACATGGATAGCAAATATACATGTCCCCCAGAGGAGATGCATCGATTGGTTTCATACTGTGAGACCAACGGTCTACCCCTGGTGATAGGTAGTGACACCAACGCACACCACACCATGTGGGGGAGCACCAATATCAACAGCAGGGATGCACAACTATTGGAGTACATTGCACAGGTGGATCTGCACCCCATTAACAGGGGACACAGAGCCACCTTTGTTGTATCGAGTAGGAAAGAAGTTTTAGATGTCACATTTGTATCCTCCCATTTGCTGGACCGGATAAAAGCCTGGTGGGTTGATGACAACGAAAGTTGTTCCGACCACAGGTATATTCGGACCAGCTTAAGCCTTGGCCCCCCTGACCCTATCACCTATAGAGACAGGAAGAGAACAAGGTGGGACTTATACAAATCAGTATTAAAAGGATTAACGGAACTCGACCCTGCTGGGGCATGCCCAATGTCATCCACGGAGGACATTGAGGCGGGTGCTAGTAGGGTCAGTGACTTTATCCATAAAGCATACGATGTGGCGTGCCCTGAAAAAGTACTCAAACCCACGTGAAGGAGGGTACCTTGGTGGAGCCGTGAGCTGACTTTTCTTCGAAAGGAGGCTCGCAGGCTTTATCGGGTTGCCCGCTTCGGAGGAGAAGAGGCATGGGCGGATTACAAGGCTGCTCGTAACTACTACTCCCTTGAATTGAGGAGGAGAAAAACCGCCTCGTGGAGAAGGTTTTGCGAGAGTGTCGAGGAGGCACCTGTTGCTGCCCGACTCTCGCGCATCCTTCGCAACGATGGCACAATCAAACTGGGATCACTGGACAAGGGTGATGGTGTTTACACCAGGACCCTTTCCGAGACCTATGAATTACTACTGGATCAGTCGTTCCCTACGGACCCTCAACGGGTTCCATGGGAACCTGACCACAGTAAAGTGGATGATGAATCCATTAATTTGATGGTTACATCCTCAAATATCAGTAACATAATTAACTCGTTTGGCCCACAAAAAGCGGCTGGAAAGGATGGCATCTTTCCAGCCCTTTTACAGCATGGGCTGGATGAGTTAATTCCGTACTTGGTTCCTCTAATGAGGGGGTGCCTGACCTTTGGATACACACCTCTGAAGTGGAGAGAGTCCAGAGTGGTATACCAAAGCCAGGAAAGGAGAGTTACGAAAGGGCGTCCGCTTGGAGGCCCATCTGTTTAACCTCCTTCCTGCTAAAAACACTCGAGAAACTGGTAGATGGCTGGGTCCGCACGCCTGATCTTGTTGATAGGCTGCAGAGACACAGTCAGTACGCCTATATGAAGGGCGTCTCCACGGAGGCTGCCCTTCATCAGATTGTCAGCCTTGTTGAGGGGGCCCTTGACTCTGGCGAGTATTGTATTGCAGTAATGCTGGATGTCAAGGGCGCTTTTAATGAGGTTAGATCTGATACCATTATCCGTAGCCTTAGGAGGTTTGGCGTCAATGAGGTATGTGTTCGATATATTGAGCACATGCTTCGGACACGAACCACTTGGGTACCCGATTCTAATCTTGTGATCAGGTGGGTGGTGCAGAGAGGGTGCCCTCAGGGGGGGGGGTCCTTTCACCGCTTCTCTGGGATCTGGTCGTAAGTGAAATTCTGGAAAAACTGCATGATCGGTTCCCTCAGCTGTACTCACAGGGCTTTGCCGACGATCTCACAACTGTGGGACGGGGCATTGACCTTGGTACAGTGGGGAGTCATATGCAGAGAGCAATTAATCTCGTTAGTGATTGGTGCAAAGAGGTGAGCTTGTCAGTCAATGACAAGCTTGCCCTGGTACTATTTACTAAGAAATACAAATTTACTGCTCCTGTGATTAAGTTGGATGGTATTCCCATCCCTTATCAAAAACAGGTAAGATATCTTGGGGTCTTATTGGATCACAAGTTGAACTGGGGCCCACTGTGCAGGGCTAGGGCACTAAAAGGTTTGCGTGCCCTGGCCCAGTGCAGGAGGGCTATTGGTAAGACTTGGGGTCTTTCCCCCAATATCACAAATTGGATCTACAAGTCCATAATTCGCCCGGCCATGGAATATGGGGCACTCCTGTGGGTTACGGCCTCAGGGGTGAAATCCCACATGGCCCAGTTGCAAAGAGTACAGAGGTGTGCCATGCTTGGTACAACTGGTGTAATGTCTAGCACTCCCACTGCAGCCCCGGAGTGTTTACTGGGGCTTGGCCCAGTGGACATCCGGGTACAGCAAGTTGCACTACGTACATACCATCGCCTCGCTCACCACGGGCAATGGAAAAAATGGACCGGGGGTGATCGTACGAGGGCGTTAAAGCATAACAAGTTTGTTGAAATCATGGCATCTGGCATCAGTGAATTCAGGATGCCGTGTGAGAAACTTGTAAATCCGCCAGCAGAGAGGAACTTTGTAAGCTCTATCTGCTCGGTGAAAGATTGGGAGGATGGTAGCGTGCCAACGTCTGACTCCGACGTGAACTGCTTCACTGATGGTTCACGGATGGGTGAGTGTTCGGGAGCGGCTTACTACCTCACTTACAAAAATCCTGCCCAGGAAGCTGTGAGGTGCTCAATTCCTCTGGGATGGGCACCCACAGTTTTCCAAGCAGAAATTATGGGTATCATCAGGGCTTCTGAAACGTTGACCGACAATTCCCATGACCATGGTACCGTTGACTTCTTCATTGATAGTCAGGGTGCCATTAAAGCGCTCACTAGCCCATGGCCAGTTTCATCACTGACTGCTGAGGCTATTGAAACGCTTAATCATATTGGGGAGACTAAGAAGGTAACACTTCATTGGATCCCTTCTCACCATGGATTTGAAGGGAACGAAGTGGCTGACTTGTTGGCCAAGGAAGGTACTCTTACTGGGTACCTTGGCCCGCAGCCCTCCATTCCTCTATCCAGAAGCACTGTAATCTCCAGCATTACGAACTGGGCAAGATTGCAGCATACTAAATCCTGGGAAAGCAGCAAGGGTTGTTCAACTTCTAAAGCTTTTCTCTCTGCCCCTTCACCGGGGCTTAGCAGTAAGCTTTTAACCCTAAATCGGAAGAATCTGCGATCAGTAACACAAACCTTAACCGGGCACTGTACTTTAAATGGGCACCTGAGAACAATGGGAGTGGTTGATGAGGCCATGTGTCTTTGCGGCCGTGGCCCAGAGACTGTATTTCATTTACTTGGGTCCTGTGACAAGTACTGCGCCCTAAGGTTAGAACTCTTTGGGAGGCATGAGTTGCCACCAGAGCAAATAGCGACTATGTCTCTGCCCGATCTTATTCAATTCATAATCAGATCAGGGCGGTTTGTAGGTCAAGTGAGATCTGTAAATCGTGAGAGTCATGATTTAGCACAGTAAAGCGGTGTATACGGGGAGACTGCAATAAGCCCAGTGCTTGCGCAGCTGACGGTCCTGTCCAACAATGGCAGGATCGTCACCCCACCAATACATACAAGTAGTGACTGCTGACACAGCCTGTGAAATTCAAAACGGAAATATTGTAGTCATACACACATTTTTCAAGAAAAATGGAGAATTATTTCTTGGACGGACGTTTAAACACAAAGTTGACTTTTATGCCACTCCGTGCCCATCATCCCTACTAAATATTTACTTGTTATCAAAACTTGGGCCACTTGAGTGGTTCCACTACTCGCAAATAGTGAAAAAAATAATTTTATTGCCCTGCGGAACAGATTACTTTGGGGCTCCCCTCATTCATCTATCAGGATAATAATTGAGATACGTGTATAAGTAAAGTGAAATTTTGTTAGTTTCGCCATGAGTAGATATTTCGTTCTGGTAAAATTTAATGAGACTGATGAAATTGAGATCGTCACAACTTCATGGCTACGTAATAATAATACCCAGTGCATGTGGCCTAATTACAAAAATCCTAGTAGAATTGTAACAGCAATTCATGACGTCAAAGTTCTTGGAGGGGGGCATCAATTTGGTAACTCAAAAGCTTCTGTTCTTGATATAATATTCGGTGTGACATTTAATGCTCATAGTTAATATTCATTGTTTTTTAGCCACTTATCGTGAAGCGGTGCAAAAACTTCCAAAAGTGATGGACCATTCAGACGTTGGGAGTGGCGAGCGGAGAATATGTCGGGGAGCCAGACGTGAAAGTGACAGTTCGGATACCGATTTGAACGACTCAGTCAAGTCCATTAATATGCCGCCCCCACCAGTGATAGGTGCCCACTTTTGTATGTACTCCTTTGATTATTGCAACTATTCGTTAACGCCATAGATCTCCAAAGAAAGTGTATAAGTGTACGGAAGTAACGTAGCAAAGTGCACGTCGGGTTTTATCCAAACTCTGTGGGGACCAGTTGACAAACTGCTACAATTGGATCGGGTCGAGAGGAGGAAAATTGGCTTTTCGTGATGTCTGGATGAAACAAGTAGTTTTGGGTAAATTTCATAACAGTACACTTTTACAAAACGCATGCGAAACTCAAATATTCACATCAAATTTTTCCGGATTTTATTTGGTTTTAAATTGTCATGCTATTTTTAGACGCAGTTCACTTAAGTTTATCACCAAAGCAAGTGTCGGACGACGAGATGGAAGCTGTAATTCAGGAGCATTTGAAGGCAGCAGCGAAACGACTCAAGCAGAACAATTCCGTTGACAAGTAAATACAACAAATTAGCTTATTTGTCGAAGGATTGAATGCTAAGTTTTAAATGTTTCCTATCATTAGTGTGGGAGCGTCGACAGATAATGGGTCAGATTTTGCTAACCAAAACCAGGACATGTAGCTGTGACCCCTATTTTTAATTACAACAAATTAATTGATTATAAATTAACTACAACATAGTAAAAATAAATTTGGGGTATGAGCTAGTCAAACATTGGTGTAAATTTTGTGTTTATTTAGCATGAAACACGTGCTTATGGGATATACAAACTCGAGATTACGGCCTAATTTTACGAAAAAATATCACGAGTGTTACACGTGTTGGTGTTAATTTCGTTACGTGTATAGCACGAGTTTTATACGAGTCTGACACTGCGGAATGGCGACAAATACCCCCAAAGAGCACCAACGTTTATACCAAATCACCACGTGTTAATCACGATATTTCGTGTTCTCCGATTCGCGTTTTTCCCGTGTATTTACCGGGTTTGTGCTACTAGGGATAGACATATAAAATTACCTAACTCTGCATATTCAATTATGCAAAAGAATTTAATCAAGAAAAATTACTAATCAACTGTTGCAAACCACATAAATATATAAACCAATTTAGTCTCCTTCTAGTAATCAACTGTTGCAAACCACATAAATATATAAACCAATTTAGTCTCCTTCTAGTAATCAACTGTTGCAAACCACATAAATATATAAACCAATTTAGTCTCCTTCTAGGAAGAATTATTTTTGTAAATCAAAATTGTTTTAAATTTTAGTGCGATCATGGATAAGGGTTCAAATTGTACTTTTCCCCACTTGACAACCATCTTCAGCAGTCTAATTATGTATTTTTATCTCTGGTCTCTGCATAAATAAAACTTTACCTGCAGCCACATGCAAGCTGGCCGACGCGTATGTCCATGTTTTGTCACTAATTAGAACAACTTTCATTCCATTTTCTAGGTGTCCTCCTCTATACTCTCGGTTGTAAAGTGGATACCCAGATGCCTCAGGAATGTTCAAGGTATTCTGATTAAATTCAGTTCTCATGTAGGTCGACGAGCTGTTGAAAATAAAATATTTAGCGCACCCTTTGTACATATTAACCTCGAAGGTTTATACATATCATTAAAGCCTTAATTGTACCTAGAAGTAATTATGAACAGTACCAGATAGTCTCGGGATGACATCGAAAGTATGTTACTTATATAATGTTAATTCTATATTTATACTACGAGATATTTATTAGTGTCTCAGAATGAATCGTGAAGCGTACAATCCATATCAAATAAACACGGATGCGATTTAGTAATGCAAAAATATAGTGTTTAAAGCAACTCATTGTTTACTGCCGGTTCAATTGTTCTCAGTTAATAAATATGCATTGTTTGTTAATTAATTGGACCAAGTTTTGTTTATGGCAGTTAGGTCTTTATGTAATTAGCCTTACATACATAAATGTGGTATCGCCACTGGCTGGGCTATTCCTCTTGACGGCCACCCCACGAAGTACAAGTGTTGTGAAGTTCTTATGTGGTATTGTTATAGATTTTAATAAATAAGAATATTTAATAATATGCGACTTTTTGTGTTTATACATACCTAAGTATTCTTCTAGTCAGCTCGCTTCGTTTTTTTTTGCATATTTCCCCGCAAAAGTTTTTCTTGGGAAGGAACTTATCCATATTTTCCCATGTGTCAAAGCTTCTCGAACTATGAAAAACCACACCCACATGTGGGTGTGGTCTTGGCATTTTCGGCATTTATAGAATAAACCACATCATGTGATACCAATTATTTTTCAGGAAGGAAAGGCAAGTATCAAATTGGCCACTAATTTTGAAAATCGCAAGGGGGTGCTCGGACTGACCACACCCCCTATGAGGTAATGTGAGATTCCGATCAAAATGTTGATACGATGCGAAGGCAACTTGGATTAATTAATTTGAGGGGCTCTCCCACTTAACCACAACACGGGTTGTAGGATTTGTTTGAAATATAATTTAGTTTTACGTACTACTATTTTTATTTTGCTTAACCTGCCTTAAAACATCCATTAGAAAATTCGACACTTTGAACTATTGCATCTTGAGTTATGAACTCTATTTGAAAGCAATACAATAACATAATTGAAAATAAACCAACATCGAAACGACGTAAAAAAAATTTCCTTATCAGTATGGGCTTATAAAAAATACATAAATTCAATATTGTGGCAATTAGTTAACAAACTTTTTCAATACTTAAAAATTTGAATTTAGTTTTGATAAGTATGATAGATAGAATAAAAAGCAGTGAAATATTAAAGCAAGGTTTAATATATTTCTCCAAGTTAAGCATCATTATGAACCTTATAAGTTTGAATAAAAAAATTTAGTTAGCATTAATAATATTTTTATAATCTGTAGCCACATTCACACTTGTTGAGGCAAATTTAAATAAAAATTAGCAAATCTAGGTTACATGCCATTCGGAGTTGTTTTTTGGCTTGATCCAAAATAAATTAAAATTTGTCCTGAATTGCACCTCGCATCAACACCAAGTCATCAATTTTAGGTTCCATCCTGACTAAATTTTTGAACGTATATCACTTATTTATAAACAACCACCAAACTGAATTACACTAGTAATCTCGACTTAATTCACCCCTTTGACGAATTTTCACGACACAAAAAAATCACTTTTTTCGAATATATTGGTGTTCACAATTATAATTTTTTATTTATAATTGCACCTTTCGCGAGACCATGTTTTTATTCGTAAGTAATTCTTATGTAGTGTATGAGTTGTACTTTATCGTCGGTTATGATGTGTGAGTGTGTATGTTGAATGCAACACAACTTGGAAGCACTGTGCACTAGTTTTGAGCGTAAAGCTCTAAGGTGTTCAATAATATGTACGCAACTACAAGTGATTAATTTCGCATTAATAGAAACGGGGTTATTTATTTAATCTTAATTCAGACACGATACACGTTATACTTGTTAAATTATTATGGGCAATTTGATACTAATTATTGAGGGCAATTTAATACAACGGTTACAATCTCAAGTCTCATTTGAGGCAAATTGAGAATTGTTATACAAGCTAGTGCATAACAGCCTGCTTGACAAAATAATAAACACGTGTTGTTTCGTATCCGGTCCGTCTCTGCTCTTGTACTGCAGGTCGGATGGACTCGAACTCGTGTATGTTAAATACACAAACGTTTGTCCAGACAAACAAAGTCAACTTCCTAGAATTCCATAAATACTTGCATGTAAACCATTGTTGATCAACATTGCAAGTATATATTTACATGCATGCATTGCATGATACGTACTTTGCACATAAGACAAATTATGCAACTATGCATACATTTAGTTTACAACCTGGAAGTTATGTAGAATATTCTACCTGCATAACTTCCAAACGTTTATAAATATACTTTTGCATTCATTGACGGAAATGCCAATGTGAAGATGTAGATTGCGTTCAATCTGCATCTTCATGCCACTGAACTGAAGACCTACCTCTCCATGTTACAAACTCAGATTCCTACATATATGGAGAATCTGAACAGGAGACGATGGATAAATGAAGGTGATGTGAGGGAAATTGAATGAAGGTGAATGAAGGATGGCGATCTTCAAATCCGAATTAATGAAGGATGAATGAAGGGAAAACTTGTGCACAGCTATTGTTCCAGTAAAAGCCAGCCAGCAAGTGCATCAATCACTGTCGCAGTGTTTAAAAAAATCCACTTTTGCGATTGACCGAAACATTTAAACTTAACACATTACGACTTTGACATAAATATCATGATAAAAAACCTCAGATACAGGCCACGCTAAAAATATCAATATTATACTCCTGTGGTGTGCAATATAAGTTTCGTGCGCAGATAAATAATTTCACGTCTGACAATTTCACACGAGCCCAGATGAGTGGGTCGTGTGCAACTTGCATAGTCAGGATTATCTAGCTAAAACAAACAATCCATCAGACATTATCTTCTTTTTCCCTGTCCACCTTAACAATGGGTTTGACATGACAACTTATTAATTGATTGGAGTGTGTTATTAACAAATTAATAACACTGAAATGATTGTGTCACGCAGCCAGTGTGTGAGCCACGTATAGTGTCAAACATGCCTTTTGAGACAAACGTATATAAAGCACGCCACTACATTTACCTCCGTACAGTCTCAACCACCACATCGCGGGAATTTATTCTTGCCCAAATTTAACATGAAGTACTACATCCTCATTTCTGCCTTATTGGCAGCAGGCCACTCTTCCTCACGTAAGTCTTCCTCACACCACTAAAAAATCATAGCTAGACGCAACTATTACAAACAGTGTTTCGTTTCTTGCACTTTTCGAACATTTTTTGCACTGCAAAGTGGTTTTTTTCATGTGCAAGAAATTGAAAAAAACAGTAAAAGATGCAAGAAACTGAAAAAACACTGAAACAAACACTTTCTTGTAGTGGTTTCTTGCAAGTAGTTACTTGCATCCGAAACACTGATTACAAAGTAAAAACTAACATTACAGTTGGAGCTAAGCAATCCTGTTCCGGTTGGGCGTACACGAGCAGCAACTCCAATTTGGTAAATCCCTTCGAGTTCGGGACTGATGCCAGCAACGAGAAAGCATACGGCTGTCGAGTTCAAAATGGGAACGAAATAGTTCCCGGACATTACTCCTTCAGCACCCGGGCATGCCGGATTGCTGTAGCAGGGCGGGAAATCGTGGCCACTGCCGGGGTTTTCGTTCTCGACAATGCGGGAAGTGCAAATCTTCACTTTCAGCCCTCCGAGGGCCTTCCCCAATGGGGGGAGGCGATTCAAGGCGGGTCGACGGCAAATGGAGAGCCACTCTATGCGATTAGATGCCTTGCCACCGTTGACGGTAGGGCGGCCTGGCTGGCTGGAAGGTATCAAGACTCAACCCGTGCAGCTGTTGGTGCTTGGGGTGGATTAGAAGTCCCTTGCAATGCAGGCTCCGTTCAATTCTTGGTTTGTGATTAAGTCCAAAAAAATAAATTAGAAATAAAAATAATTAAGTAACATTTACGTGATCTCAATTCTTTTATAACAAAATTCATTATTAACGTTTATTACATCTTCCTCAAATGAGTTAGAAATCAAAATCAGGCCTTTCTAATTAATTTCTTAAGCTAATTAATTAGCCAACTAAATATGTAATTTGCGGTTTAGAACTAATTGTTGATTACTAATTACAAACAAGTTAATCAGCTTGGAAAAATATTAATCTAGTCTAATATTTTGGCTTCACTTTTCATTTCAACCCTTGGATTTCAACCAATCTTAGCATAATTTCCACACTCAGCCTGCTTAGATAACATTATTTTCGGTTTGAAAAAAATAAACTTTAATTACATATTCCATTAAAAATATGTTCATACGTACGAATACCATGAAAATGTGTGGTTACTTATATAAATCGAGTCGGGTAAACTTGAGAGGACGAATGTGAAATATCTAAAATTGAGTCAAGTTTCTACATTTTCGTAATATTGAGGGTGGGATGAGGCCCAAAATGCGTTCCCATTGTCCCCTGTGCAATTTAAGTTTAGGGCGAGTTTATGCGAATGGGTGAGATTTTCTCAAAGTCATCAGTTTGGTAGAGTAAAAGGGATGTTGCCACATGTACTCTGCTCAGCCAGTGGAGCAATGCGCAATACATTGAGAAAAAAGAGAACATCGCAACACCACAAATTCTCAAATTTTCTTTCACGGGCGGCGCCACACATTTAATTCTCGGGGTGAGGAAGAAGACTCGCTTTGAGCATGTACGCCCCTGTTTTACAACCCCATCCCCAGAACTTTCAAGTCAAGTCAAGTCAAGTAATCCTTTATTCAAGTGTCAACAAATATCAGTTAATACAAACTGGTTTCCAATCCATGACACAACTCAGCTAAATATATAAAGCAACTAAGACTAAGTTAACATTAATTATGATAATTATTATATCCTACCCAAGTAACATTTGTGCCTTGGCATTGACTTGGCCCGGATCCGGCTATGTGGCTCACCCTCGGCCACGTCAAAAAAGTAACGAAACATGAATGGGCCAGCATTGGTTCAATTCTAATTGTGAGTTGTGGAAGTATTGGCTTGGCCCAGATTTGGCATTTAACCGAAACCTCACTAACCGCTGGCAAGTCATCATATGATTTTGGCCCAAGTCAAGCGTAACGGGCATGGGCCAAGTCCGTTCGGCCGAACGATGGCCCACATAAGGTTACCCGGCAGCCGTGATTTCTTCGGCCTAGCAGTTCCGGCATTCCCCGGTTTCCAGTCGTATTTCACTCGTGAGCACGTGAACATATGTATCACCATGCTCTAATAAAATTTACTTCTTAACATGTCGACTATTTCTGTTGAGGCATTTCCATTTTGTGTCGTTGAGTTTGTCGATGATAACGACAGATTAATTTACGTTGAAGCTGTCCCTCAATCTTGGGTGAACGAGGAAAATAGAGTGTGTCGCTGGCCGAATATAGCTGGACCTCGGCTTGAAAAACTACGTAAAGTCCAGTCAAATCCCCAAAGTAAATGGATAACATATCGCAACATCAAGATATTGAAATTGTGTTGTAAGTTCGTAATCGAATGACATTACAACTGGAATAAAAATTTAAATATGAAATAATAATTAACAAATTCTTTGCACAGAGGTGTGTAATAGCTTCTAATGAAAGAATACGAACTAAAATTAGGAAAATTTTCACCCCGGAGGTATCCTATGGGGTGACCCCCACCGATTTTCAAATATTGTCCTAGGACTTTGAAATTTGACATATAGGCCTCTGACGGCTTCTGTTGAAAGAATATGAAGCGAAATTTGGAAAATTTTTACCCGGAGGTATCCTATTTGGTTACTCCCACCGATTTTCAAATAATGTCCTATAAGTTGTTGAATAGATTTTAACTGCAAGTTTTCAGCTGTTGTGAAAATAAAGCTGCGATTTGAAAAATAAAATCTATTGAACTGGCTATCTCAAGTCTGCACTGTAGGTTTTTGGCATACAAAGTTTGCGATTTTTTTCGGTCCTCCGTGTAGGAAATTTTTCTTGTCCCGTTGCAGTCCTGGACAAAAAATATTCTCTCATCAAATCCTATACAACTTCCGACCGTCCACTTGCATGGTGACCTTCACAGGGCTCCCTACTCTTGTTATTCCTGTTGGCTTTATGCGATATATTTGGGGCATGTGTCAATGCTTTTTCTGCTCCATTTTTTCATTGGTGTCTGATTCGATTGACGTGACCGGGAGTTATCTGGCATTGCTTTTCTATATTTATTTTGGGTGGGGGGTGGACTTTATTTTTCGGTTAGCTCATCATTTAAATTAACATCACAAGGCAGCTTCAAACTACACCCAACATTTTTAGAAGACGTGCACCACTCAATTTATCAACTGGTTCGACACATTTGATCTCCCTTTATCACGGGTTACCTTGCTGGTTGGGATTTGCACACGTCCGTTTGCCTAAATTTAAACCACTGTGTGCAAAACAAACAATACCAAATGCAGGGAAGTGCTGCCATACATATATTAATTAACAGTCGCATATCTCATGGTTGGAATGCAGAATCGATATCATTGTCGATATTTGTATTTTACTTACTGTAGCATTGATCTCCTCTTATCAATTGTTGACAAACTTGACTGATGGGCTTTGCACACGTTCACTTTAACCACGGTGCACATCTTTCTATTCTTAACCAGCATTGACATTGACACTGATTGACCACGAACCAAGTCACGTAAACTGTTTGCGCAATCAGTATCACGTATTGTGGACATGAATAAAGAACTCGGTATAAAAGTCACCACTCAAACCGTGCCAAAATTACTTGGTTTCTGCGACTTGAACACAATGTACCAAATTTTATCCTTTATTCTAGCCTTCGCCGTCGGGGTGGTAGTTCCTCACGGTGGAATGATCGACCCGCCGGGGAGGAACTACATGTACCACGCAGGTTTCGAAGGAACCCCACCAAACTGGAATTGGCAAGCTGTCTGGTGTAACGACGTTCCTCAAGCAATCGACGTCCCGGAATCTACTTGTGGTATTTAAATATGTGAACATCTTAAATTTGGATGTAGCTTAAGCTTTTGCTTGACACTTGTACCTGGCTAGCTTTCCCTAATTTAAATATTAGTCAGTTTGTGTACATACGTTTTTAGGATTTCCGTCACGCTCCGTGTCACTTGAGACTGGTCAAAATTTTCGAATGTGTATATGGAATATGTGTATATGGAATATGTGAAGACTAAGCCCGCCACAATTTACAAATTTGTTCTTGAAATTGACACTCTCAAGATATAAGGAGCGTCACGGAAATCCTAAACACGTAGCTGAACAAACTCCTTATTGCTTAGGCATGTGTGGCGACGTTCCTAGCGATCCTGCCCCCAGAGAGAATGAGAATGGAGGCTATTATGGGAAAGCAACCGTTGGCAAGAACTATACCGCTGGCTCTGTAAGAGTGACCTACTATGATGGAATAATTAAGAAAAATTCATATTTTTTTCTGTGATAGATTATCGATGTTCGAACCGAATTCGGCGCTGCTCACTACGGATACATGGAGTTTCACTTGTGCCAAACGAGCATCGAGTCGCCAGGTTGTTTCCAGAAACTTGCAATTGTTGGAGGAAGTGAAGACATCATTCCAGAAGAAAGAATGTGCGTCCCATACCCAAACAGCGAAACTAGAATACTCACCGCCAGACTTCAACTTCCAGCTGGGGTGCGATGTAACCGATGCACGTTAAGATGGACGTATCGAACAGCTTACCCGGGATGGGCAGGTATGGTCAATCAGGGACAAAACCACCCTGGACAGGACACTGTCCAAAAGTGGTTTTGGACACCAATCCTCAGGTGTCCAAAAGTGAAAAGTGGGGTAAACCGATACAATTCGTATTACCCCATCGGACATTTACGGACACTTTTGGGAAACCCTGTCGTCAATGAAAAAATACCATGTTTGAGCCGAATCTGAAGTACTAAATATTATGTATTTGTGCATTAACAGGTTGGCATGAGTGTGCCGTTAATCCCAACCCAGCCCAAGTGTTCAGGAATTGTGCTGACATTAGCATCCAGTGAAAATAGTGGTTAATTGGTTAAACTCTTAATGGTTACAGGGCGAGATGAAATAATATGTAAACATATATATATGAAGTAAATTTAGTATGTTATTTACGTCAATATGAAATATGGTTGTGCCAAATCTTACAAACCGCAATTGTTAAAACAAAATTTTCAAAATTAAATTAAATCAAAATCAAATATATGTATTTATTAAGGGGTGAATCCCCTTTATCAGATAGTCTTCTCTGTCTGCCTGTCCATACGTTTCGAAAAGCTGGGCCTTGAGACTTGATACATATTTGAAACATAAGTTCCTTGGGTCCCATCCCAGGACAAGATGGAAGATTGGCTCTTAAGGTCTCACCCTCGAGAGGGTCCACCCAAAAAGTAAAGGTAACCATATGTGAAATGGTTCCGCCATTAAATTGGGTGACTTAGGGTGTATTGAATCGTATTTGGGAGAGCTTTCAAACTTGACCTCTCCGCCCTATCCGTAACTTTCCAAAGCGTGGAGACGTGGCCCCTGGTGCGTTTTCGTCACAAATACCAGTTTCATTAAGATAATTTTATTCAAATATCCGTAATACCTGCATAGATTTCCTGCATAGATTTCCCTGCTCCACTGAACATTTCCAATACAACAAAATAAATAAGTTGTGGTGATAACGATCCCTAATCTGAAAATAAGTGCCTCTTCACCTCTTCCCTGTCCCATAAAAATAACGTCATTTGGACCATTAACTTCCCCAAGATTGGCAATAGTTCATCTTATTATTCTGTAGCAATGGCTCACAATGTTCCTTCCACGTCATCGATACCAGTCCCGTTAATAATTCTTCTAAATACATTACATGACGGAGATTACGCGACTGCTTGCGGGGCTTATGGAACTCCGACATGGATCGTAAAAGGGAAGGAGTCCGCAAGTTTGCTAAGCATTTAATATCATTTGCGTAGTTTTGCCATTTATTTGGTGAGGGTCAAAATGGCGTATTTAATTATGGTGAACTTGGTTTAAGACGAAAGATCTACATAAACTATATGGAGGAGGAGATTATATTAAAAACAAAAAAAATTGGAAGAGTATGACATGTCTAGGCAGTTGGAGAGTGCAACTGGCACCCGTTAATTATAATATTTGTCCAGTCTGTCTGTCTGTCTGTAATGTGTTACTCAAAATAATACGAAAGCAGAAACAAGCATAATACGCATTGTAAACTGTGCATATTATTTGAGTAAAATCATACACACGCGTTTTACTTGCGTTTTAGCACACCACGTTTCCACAACGGAATACTAAAATATTTTACTCAAATAATATGCACAGTTTACAATGCGTATTACGCTTGCATAATAATTACGTAATATTTTGAGTAATATGCAAATTTTACACTTCGTATTATGCATGCGTAATAGTTGCGTATTATTTTGAGTAATACACTAGTATTACTCAAAAAAGGTGTTTTTTTCGTAACTATGGCCTCACCTAAGAAAAAAGAAGTTTTGTAACGATGATCACACCAAGCCAGGCCGGAAGTCGGTTTAATCTTCTTCTCTGTAATTTAAGTCACACACTATAAAATAAATTAACTTGTGTGAAGAATGACACTTCTGATTAATTTAAAATAAATTATATTATGAATTAATAATTCAGTAGAAACCTTTGCCAAAAAGATCTACATATCTACATAGATTCTATTCAATTCTACCATTCTACACTGTAAAAAAAGGTGAGTCAAATTGCCACCAAGGCAACTATTGAGTAAAATTTACCGCGCCAAAGTTAAAATTTAGTCAAGGTTGAGCAAAAATCTTTCAAAGTTGGATAAAGTTTAACTTTTATTGGATAACTTTTACTCAATACTTGTCTTGGTGGCAATTTCGCTCAAAATTGAGTGAATTTTACTCGATATTTTTTAGAGTGTACTGCTAGCTGTTACACAGGGGGGAGAACGACTGCGACATTTGAAACGTGTGTCAGTCGAGAAAAAATGGTTCATGAAATGGGCCACGTCCTATGTTTTGGCCATGAGCAGAATAGGAATGACAAAGCGGGGTGGATCTATGATTGTAGCACGGAAAAATATGACCATTTGAACTTTGGTCATTTATACGACTACACTGGAGAGCAGATGTCATCGCCCAAGGGAAAGTTTGCCGTTTGATTTCTCATAACTTTTTGAAAATAACAGATTTTCCAGAATTTTTTTCTGCGTTTTGTAGACAATTTAATATCCAACTAAGTATCAAAGAGTCTTCTTAAAAGTTTATAGTTTTCATCACAAGTGAGTAGATTAGATAAAAAGTAAAAACGGCAGGTGCAAAAGTGATCGCCAAAACGAATAAAACATTTAATATTTCTACAATTTTAAGTTTTAAATGAAAGCATTAACACTTAGTACGTTGTTGGACCTCTATTTGAAAATATGACAGCCTATCAGCGACGTTACATGGACGCAACCAATGTCTGAGGGATATCAGGGTCGACGTCACTCAAAGGGGCTTAGATTTCTGCTTTCACGTCAGCTATGCTCGAAATTGAGCGTTTTCGGATGTCTAAATATATGTGCTCCCCACCTCTGCTCAGTAGGATTGAGATTCAGTCTTTCCTGATGCGATTCGAGAACATTAATCTTGTTGGCCACAAGAATTCACAGGTGGACTTGGCCGTCCGTTTATGTTCGCGCTCCTGCTGAAAGGTGTAGCACCCTGCAAAGGGAAGTTTTGCTGCTGATTGTTAAACATTTCTCTTTAGTAGGTTCTGGTACAAAATTTGGTGCTTGGTAGAATTGATGAATTCGTGCGTACCAGCCCCCGCGAAGCTGAACACCCAGATATCATGACGCGTCCTCCGCCATAATTTAAGATGGTGTTGAGATTTTTTAGTTTGACAGATTCTCCGACTTCTCTCCATACTCAAACCCTTCCATCCGACCATAAAACACTAAATTTACTCTAAACACACAGGAGAGTGATTCGCAAAAATTTTAATCTTTATTTGTGTGTTGCCTTGCAAATTTTAATATTTTCTATTGGTGCGTTTTTGATATGTAGGCTTCCTCCTGGCTCTATAATTTTTTGAGCACTGAGTTTCGATATTCCCCAGCTTGCCCAACCACTTGATACTTTTCTAACATCATTTTCTACTTCACCAGAAATTTTGGGAGACGAAAGTTTTGGATTATTGGTCACTTTTCGAGCAAATATTTTCTACTCGCCTGTGATGAAACTTGGTGGACGTCCTGCTCGTCGCCTATTTTCAATTGATCCCGTTAATTTGTAACGTGAAATCATGTCACGGACAGTTGACGAGATTTTTTGACCAACTCAGCAATTTCTTGTTGCGTCTTCCCCCCATTTTCGTAGTGATGAATGACCAAATCTTGAATAGCGACTGTTGTTTCATTATTGGGCATTTTCTTCTGGGATATATTTTTTTAATTGAAGTGGAATTATTTTATATATACATCAATAGTAGGTGTACTTAAAAATTAAAAAAGTTGTTATCCTACTTTAGTAATTTTAAAAGTGCTATCATTTTAATTGTTTGTGGCGATGACTTTTGCACCGGTGCTCATTTCTTAACTTCACGCTATGGGTCCGTACGGAGTGAAAAAAAATCTTACAACAAATTTTCCTTGGTGAATGTTTGTGTACTAATTTGTCTTCAAAATGAGATAACGACCTTTCAAAAATTCCCCGTACTTACTGAGAAACTATGATTTAAATTGTGCTTGTGGTTTTGGGCGTTCACATTTGCTCTCCAGTGTATATGAGCATAATGCAATATGGGTGTTGGTCATGCATCGCCCCGACGAGGGAAGGGGTGTCTCTGGATCAATGCGAGTCACGAGATGGTCTCTCCATCTTGGACGCGGAAAAGATTAATGACATGTACAACTGCGGGGGTGAGTTTGTAAATATCAAATCCGTAACAATTTTATAACGAAAATGTTCTACAAGAATCTCTGATTATTTTCCAGGCTGCCAATCCTACCGTTTCAGGTTCCCCCATATGCTAAGCGGCACCACAAACGTGGTCCTTGGCGGGTCAGAACCCTCCGGCGAGCCGTCTGTCTGTACGTCTGTCGGGCATTTGTCAAGGGGGAAATCGTGTCGGGCAAGAGCGTCGTGCGAGGAGGGGTTTGGATTTAACTCTTTACCGTATTTAGCCACACAGCAGATTAAATTCACTATTATTACAATCACAAGTAAGGGCGATACATTTTCAGACATTTACAAAATTTCAAAATTTCACAACTCACAATTATATAAAATAGTCGTCGGCTATTACCGACCTTTAACACTATATATAACTCTTTGACAACAAGTGTTTAGAACTTCAGAAATATTACAAAATTATTAATACGTATGTAATTAATGCAGAAATGAGAAACAGAGAGTGAGAGAGAGAGAGACAGAGAGAGAGTGATGCACAACCACCCTGGCTCGTGGTTGGGACGAGAATCCTGTTCCCTATACCATAAGTGGACTAAGTGTGTAGCCCTTGAGGGTGACTACATTGAAAAACAATAAAGAAGGTTGGAAAAATATGGTTGGAAGTACCCTAGGTAAAGTTATTAGTGATTTCCCCTCGTAACTTGTGAATGTAAATTGAGAATACAAAACCAGAAATACACAAGACGGTTCATTTTAACTTGGAAGAAGTATTAAACTAATTTAGAAGACTTTGAGGCACTTCAGCTTTTCCCTCGGCCTTCTTGAAAATATGCATATTATTCATGCCGATATTAAAGTTAAGGGGGAAGGCTGCTGTTAAGTCAAGTCATTGAATTTAAGTGAAATGAATCTTGAATTTGCTATGCAAATAACTCCTTTCAATGTAAATTAAAATCAGGGTGCGGAATATTCTACATATTAGTCACAAATTAGTTTACTTATGTCTATTAAATTATTAACAGGGAAAAGCTGCCTTCAGCTAATACGTCGACCAGTGTGCGTCTATCGTACTTCTAGCACCCAATAAGATCTAAAATGGCACAAATTAATAATCTTGGCAGGAAACGGTACTTCTTGTCTCACAACAACTATCGTCATCGCAGTCACAAATACATTTCATAGTCCCGTCAAAGTAGGTATATGACAAATGCGGTTCTTCCTCCTTCAAATCAGTTTTAGTTGTAGGACGACATTCTCTAAAACTATCATCGGTGGAGGAGACAAACATTGTCAAAGGCAAACTAACGGCGGATTGCCGTCTCGGCCCTTTTCTTTTCCTTTTCAGCAGTCCTGTTATCTTCGGCATTAGTTTTGGCTTATTTAGAGACTCCTTTGGGTCTCCCACGATGACGTATTTTCCCTTGGCTGCTTTTCTTCGACATAAGGTCCACGTCAAAAGGGCCGACAAGGTTACAAGGATGATAACCGCGACGTAGAATATCTGCTTTAAAATTGGATCACGCATAATTTTCCTGGTTAGAGGGACTTGGAATATTCTTTGGATTTCGGGATGTTGTTGTAGAATTGTCTCTTCGGCTTGTTCCAGAATGTCTTCGTAGTATTCCACCTGAAGGAGGGGTTCTGCGTTTGACATGTTCAGAAGAGTCCCATTAGAAAGGAGCCTCACGGATGCATTGTTAAATGCCAACAATGTGCCGTCAAAACTGGACAAAGCCGATGTAGAATTCGCACCCATACTTCCACTATTGGACCATTCTGGCGGCGGTGGTGGAATAAAATAATCCGAAATAATGAGAATGGTCGGCTCATCCTCCGACTCGGAAGCGTTACCCTGGTTGACCATATTCGTAACCACAAGGTCATCATTGTCCCGGGTGTATGAAAATTGTGTCAAGGAGTCCTCATCTTTGATCACCTGGCCGTCCTCCATATCCTCGCTTGAGAGCAGGTAGGTGTGCCCACTTGGTATCTCTATTGGTATTGGGGTAAGAACATATTGTACTTCCTCAACGCTTCGTTTTTCTCGGGAGGCTTGTTGTTCTTCAATCGTCATAGCGACGCTTCCCAAAAGTATACGCAGCCCGGTGCCCGTACTGTTTACTATAGTCAACCTCCCTGGAAACTGGGCCTCAAATCCGGTCATTGTTAAAACAAAATCGCCACCCTCAGCCTCTACAACTGGTGGTTTGTATTTTGTTCCCGTTTGGTTTCTTATTTGGGTGATAATTTCAGACAAATCAACAACTTGGAGTCTGTTTTCATCATCGGTGTCGCCAGTGTTCTTCTGGGTGTAGATGAAAACGTCAGTATCGAGACTGACAATGGAGTACGTCGTCTGGTTGAACCCAATGAGGTGTGAAGTTGTGTTTGGGAGATTTTCTAATACGCCAATCTCTCCTGGCACCGAGGAATACAGAAAGTCGGTAGCAGTCTGAATTAAGAAAGGGACTCTTAGTAAGACGGAAAAATATGCGATCGCGGGAACCATCGTTTGCAGCTCCACAGTTTGCTCGAGATTTCCGTACACCAGCACGATTTCCCCGTAGCGAGATATCCTTACGAGGAACCCGTCTTTGGTAAATATCTGCGGGGTGGAGTAGTACAAATCTTCGGGAAGCGGAGGTGCCAACAAATGGGAATACTCTAAAGAGCTTCCTCCAACTTGATAAACCAGCCGCGATGAGTCGGGATCAAACTTCATAAGGGTAAATTGAGAAACGGTTAAGTTGAGGTAAAAGAAGTGTCGCGTTTTCCACAGGCGGTGCCACAAGTCCACCTCCACATCAAATGAACGTACGTCGGTAAAGTGGTAGTGGAAGGAAGAGGGGGGAAGGATGGTTACAGATTCCGGGGGTGGTAGGGAATATTCGTCTTCCTCGATGTATTCTTCATCCTCATCGGCGTCCAAAACCACGTGCCTATATGTGTTGACACCATCCCAGTCGGTCGAATTATCTTCTGCCCCTTCACCCATAGGATCTCCAGACCCTTCATCCACAGCATTCTCCATACTTTCATCCCCTTCCGGTTCCAGAATTTCACCCTCTGCGTCTTCCTCAATATCCTCCTCAACCGTTTCCCCTTCTTCTACCCCACTCTCCAACTCTAAAACTTCATCATCCACTTCAAACCTAACACGTGTTGTCGCACCAATCTCCATTTTCACCCGGTACCCATCTTTGCAAACGGCATTTGTAATCAAAATGACTTCCGCCTTTGTCACCCATTTTGTATCGCAGCCTAAAACTACCTCATCGGTCTGGTGCTCCCTTCCGATGAACTCCTGAATTTTCCTCATTTCCTCTATCAGCGTAACCGATGGATTGGAATTTGTACCTATTTGAACCTTCCCAACATTTAGGTCGACCAGAAGATGATTTTGAGGATAGAATCCATTTAGTAAGGACAGTTTGTTAACCCCTTCACCACCATCTAATTTCGTTACCCTGGGGAAACTGCTTTTTAGTAAAAAGTTATCGTCCATGTCTCCACCATGGATGGTGTCAAGAGTGTTTAGAGATTGAATTACAAACAAATTAGGAACACCATTCAACCTATTGACGCTTCCCGAGTGTCCTTCTTTCACAAAAATTTCGGCCTGAATATCTCCCTCAGCTCTTGTCACAATTTCCGCAATCAAGTTGGGGCTTTCGTGAATGTAGATTTTTGTCTTCTCAGGGCTGAAGGGTAAAATGTGAGAAGATGTTTCAAAGGTCATATTCAAAGCATCCCTTGAGTCTACTTGGACGAGCCGCTGAACGCTTTGGAAAGGAATGGAAAAGTTAAGGAGGTGTTGCGCTGCTGAAGTAGAACTAGCTGGGGGATACACTAGGGTGAAATCCTCAGTTGTTTGAATGTGGTATGAAAAGTTTCCTCTCTGCGCAAAGTTTTGCACTTGAGTATTTGCACTGACGAAAACGTCCATTTGCGGTGTGCAGTAAAGGTAAGGAATTACAATTCGATCCCACACGTCCGACGTACCTCCCTCGGAAGTGATAAACTTTGTATGACACCCGGTTGTGATATATTCCACCCTGTCAGGCGCCCCTTTTATTATTTCAATTCCACTTAACCCTAACCGGGTGTTGGTCTCTTTGAACAGCATGTATCCTTCGTTAAGGTTCACGTCTATGCTCCATTTAATTCCTTCGTC